TAGTAATGTATCAGTGTTGATCTGATTTTGATGGCATCGTGGTTATGCAGGAGAATGTCTTTATTTGTAGGAAATACACATTAAAATATTGTATTGCAGCTTTCTCTTACGCGTCTAGAAAAGAAAAGTGCTCACAACTTTCCTGTAAGTTTGTGATTATTTCAAAAAATTGTTTTAAACCTTCTGTATGCAAAGCACACTGAGATACAGTGCAAAATACCAAGTTCTAGAAGATACAAGACCCATAGACAAGGAATTTACAACCAAGCAAAGAAGTTGAGACACACACATATATTCCTGGTAAAATTAAATTGAGCCACGAGTCAGATTTGACCGAAAATTCCTCCACCCCGACAGAGTTCGTGCCACACCAAATATCACAACATGTATTAAGGAAGATTAATACCCTTTAAAAAACGATTGCCCTGACTTGATCCAACTTCTTTGCAATATTGGATCTGTGAAGAATTCTTTATGCTTAAATCCAATTCCCTGGTAACTGGCTCATGTGTAGTTGAATTTCTCAGTTTCACCAATGGCCCACATTTATAAAGGAATTTATAAGTGAAGGAAAATGGAGCTCCAGAGAACAAAAATAAAGAGCGTTTTGTCTCACACTCTCTATTCCTGTTTCCAGAGCAGCATTTATTTTCCAGAGCAGCAATCATCCTCCCGGAAAGCTAATTTCTGAGATAGAAGAAGCACCAAAGGAAATTTGTTTCATTGCTCTTCAAGTCTCCCAGTAAAGCAACAGGACGGCATGCGCACTAGAGGGCACAGCTGGGTTGTTCTCAGGCATGTGTGTGCAAGGGAATTTCTCCAGTTTTATCTCTAAAAGGAGTTTTTACCATCTCTTCACCCTTGAAGCACAAAAGACAAATGAGTTCATTTCCAAGGAGATGCCTGGCCTGATATAGATGATTTCATGGCGGGGAAGAAAAATGCTACCAGCAAATTAAAAACACTCTCTCATCTCTGGATTCCAGTGTCATCTAAGTTTTTTTCTGGTTCTCATGTCTATGTTATGGCATTGAGAATAGGACAATAGGTCCACCCACCTTTGATTTCTGTTCATTGTGAAGAAGCCCTCTGTTCTTCATGACTTCTCGTGGGAACTGCAGACACCCTTTCCTCCCTGATATCTTTCCATTCATTTCACCCTTCAACTTTTCCTGGGAATTAATCTTGTAGAAGTCTTTTAAAAAGACATCCTCAGTAACTCAGAGCGATGGCTTCTACGCCGCTCTAACTACTGAATAATGGAGTTTTGAAATCGTAGTACCTAATGTTCTGCAGAAGTTTCTCTTTTCAGTTAGATTCTTCTGTTCTGTGAACCAAGCAATTGGGATCAGGCGTTTTCTCCATGGCTCTGCCAGGCTCAGCAGCCTCTGGTGTGCGGGGTGTGGAAATTGGGCCGAGGGCAGGCCCACTGTCAGTGCACGGACCCCACCTCTCCTGCCCGCACTCCTACCCCCACGTCCACATGACCTCACTCCCGGGCACACCTTCCCCGGTCCTTCTCAGAAATAACACAGCAAAAACATTTATTAAGCATCTGAGCAACACAAGGAGGGACAGAACAGAGTAAAAAATCGTGTACACATGAGAACTTTAGAATCTGTTCGGAAGACTAAGCATAAAACTAGGAAAAATGTCAATAATACAAGGCTATGGAATCGTTGATTATTTAATAGCCATATACTCTAAATTCTCCAGAACAGCATCAATTTAAAATACTCTGGTTCATTGTCACTTTAGGTGTTAACGTAGATCTTAGCACAGTGTTCAGCCACAACCTCGTGGAGGGATCTGAAGACCCAGGTTAGAATATGAATTTTGCCTCCATTTTGTGACTTCAGGCTGCCTTCATCTCTCTGGACTTAGACTCCTCATCTGTGAAATGGGAAAAGGAGTCCCACCTTTCAGAGTCCATACTAGGCTTACATGTTCTGGAAACACATGCAGCAAGTGTGTAGCTATAATGGACGATTGCAACGTTGTTGTGTGTGAAAGTGTATGTTCGGAACTTCTTACCTGCGAACCTGCCCCCAGGCACGGATCAGGGCTGCGCCGGGCGCTGGATGAAGATGACAGGCGGCTGCTGCTCTCAAGGGCTAACGTCTAACGCCAACGCTAACGTCAGTGGTCTTACAAATGTGGACATGTACGTTATAAACACATATAAGTACAAGTAATCAAAAATATGCACAGAGGAGGCTGCCCCTTTGGCCGATGAGGGTGCCTGATCCACAAAGTTTAGAGACCATCAACTGTATATTCACAGCAAATTATAGACCGTGTTAAGAGCGTCTGCGGAGCTGGCGTGAATCAAGTGTGACGGAGCCCAGCTTGCAGGATGAATCTCCCAGTCTTCAGTGTGACTGGGAATTCACCAGGCAGGAAAACATGGGAAGGAAATTTCAGGTGGAGGTAGTGAGTGGGGGCTTTGGGTAAGACAGAGCTGTGTTGAAAACCGAGCCCATCTCTTTCTAGCTGTGAGACCTTGGTTTCCTCATGTGCGTGTCCAGAAACACTACCACCACCAGGGGTCCTGAGGACCAATGTTTTTTGGCTAAATGAGATAATACTCATTAGACTGATGCAGTGCCCTTGCTCTAGGAGTCTTCTTTCCTCCTCGTCTGGGGAGGATCTCCTGACTAGATCTCTGCACACACCCGATGGCGGGGCACAGGGTCACTGGAGTTCTGAATTCCCTTGTTATCGCTGCTCAAACATCTGTCTGTGGTTCCTGCCTGGAGTTTAGCCCTTTATGACTACTCACTTTGTGTGGGTTTCTGAGACCTGCTGTCGGCCTACAGGGACTTCTGACCCCGTCTGGCTCTGAACTGTTACTATGGTGACATGTCTGTTTTTTGACACCCACATCTCTTCTCCCTGCACTGGGACCAGCACCCTGGAGGCCCTTGCACACCCACCTGTTGCACATTCAGTCCATATGATGGCCAGTCACAGCAGCTGATCCCCTTCCTGGCTGGAGCAATTGTGTCCAGGAGAGCCAGGCCCAAGGCTTTTATTGGAACTTGGCAGAAGAGACTTGCTCTTTCTTCCAGACACGGAGCTTCAGTTGCCAGAGGCCACCATTAAAGAAATACCTGGCTGACAGTGAAGCCAGTGTAGTAAAGTATAACCAAAAGATAGAAAAAAAAGTTTTCTGAGGACTCTGTGGAGCACCTGGATCCAACAATACCTGAAGCCAGTAGATCTACTACTGAATCTTTCTGTATTTGAGCCAATAATTTCTCTTTTCCTTTAGCCTGGTTTTGAATTTCTGTCGCCTGTAACTGAGTCTTAATTCCTCTGAAGTTTGTCCACCAATCCAGTCTTCTGACTCGCTTTGTGAAGTATTGGCTGCCTCCCTAGACTCACTTTCCACTTTATTGCCACTCTTGACAATTGAGCTTATTATGAAGCACAGAATAAACCCACCTGCTTTCTTACATCTGTTGTGTTTATGGTAGCCGGGGCAATTTGCCTTGTGTTTTTGGACTAATTCCACTCTCCGAAGCACAGGGTGAGATCCAAATAAGTGGAATCTCCCACTTGCCTACTGTTTTTGAAGGACACTGGCTTTAACTACCTCCTTGCACAGTCCCAATGCTGCTACTGGTACCAATAATAATAATTAATAATAATAACTGCTGCCATTTATTGAGCCTCTACTGAGTACCAGGCATGATACTGCTAGTGGGTTGTGTTTGGTGGGCTGTAACCATCATTTAAAAAAATAAAATGGAATAGAATAAAGCAGATCAGAATGAAATGGAACGGAATTGTATAGAGAAGAAAACATCAGAATGCATCCAAGGTGGTAAGAATAAGCATTGGTTTGCAAGTTTTCTTTCCATTTATATTGTGTCTATGTGTACATGTGAGTGCTGATTGGCAACATAAAGCATATTTTTTTAATGTGGGTTGTGATGAAAACAATAACTTGTCCCAAGTCACATAGCTAATAAGTAACAGAGCCAGCCCTGAATCCAGGCATGTGGCTGCCAGCTGACTGTCTCAACCACACACCATTTACAGACAAGGAAACACCTTCCAAGAAGCTAAGTAATATGAGAAAATGAGGACGCCTACCTTATAGAATCGTAGGGGTTAAATTAGATAAGACAACTGTCTGGTACATAGTAGAGCATAATAAAAGTTAGTTAATATTAAACCTTTTTGGAAGTTGTTTTTTCATGTAACATTATATTATGAACAGTTTTCCATTTCCTTAAATACTCTTGCAACAGCATGTAAGTGGTGCAATGTATTCCTTTGTCTGCATTTGTAATGATTTCTTTGCTTACCCAATCTTGCACTGTGAGACATTTAGGTTGTTTCCATCTTTTTGCTATTTATACCAGGAATCAATAGTTTAAAGCACAGTCTCCGTGTACAAATATTTCCGTAGGATAAATTCCGAGAGGGGGAGTGGCTAAGTCAAAGGGCATTTGCCTTGTAAATGTGGGAAAGTTTAGACCAATTCACGCTTTCTCCTAGCAGTTGCCCTAAGTGCGGTATCTGTAAAAATCAGGTGTTATCTGTCAGGAGCTTTCCAATAACTTAAAAACCCATTTGTAGAGCAAGTGACGGCTGCAGTGGTGAGACCAACCAAGCTGGCTTTGTGCTAAAGCCACGGAGGCATCCCGCCTCCTCCCCACCTCTCCTCACCCCTCCCTCCTGTCCGGGGCGCCGCTGTGTCTCTTCAGAGTTCTCTTGGTTTCCTTCCGCAGATACCATTCCTGCCATCACTGGGTACCCTCCCCCAGACTTTGAGCAAGCCCATCTCCTGAATGCACAGGAACTGACCCTATTTTATTTCCCAAACATAACCATGCTGGGTGCAGCAACACTGGGTGCAGAATTGCTTTAGGGGACTCTGATAGCCATTATTTGTGAATAGCCTAGACGCTGGCCCATCCCCACTCTTCTTTTAACAGCATCCTCCTCCTTTCCCACTCCTTTCTTTTAGGGAACACCACCTCAACGCCATGTCCTCAGGAGGCTTCCATCCCAGTAACTCATCCTTTCCCTGGCAGGGGTGGAAACAAGATCCAACCTGGACCTATAATAGTTGCATATTCTTCTGGACACAGAAATTGTCCAAGGGACAGACATAGGACAAAGAAGGGCCAATCAGTCTCTCTCCACGACTGATACACAGGTTTTGAGAGAAGGATCATCTCGGCATGTGGTTACTAAATTATGACCAGGGAGCCTGGTGCTGCCGGCCGCCACCTTCCCGGCTGCAGAGAGGAAGGTGCCAGCTCCGGAAGAGAAAGCGGCCAGCACACCCGAGAAGCTGACACAAGAGACCGACGGCATCGCTCTTCGTCCCACAGTGCCTGAAGTCAGCGCCACCGACGGACTACTGGGTTTAAAAAAATTTATTTGGCGAAGGCAAGTTTGATTATTTTTTTGCCTCTAGTAACAAAAAGATTCTTGATCGACACAGCTGTAGAATGAGTGGTACTAACAACATCTATCATGAGTTGAAAGGAGGAAGGCATACAGTAATGAAATACTATCACGTGGTAACGGGGCAGGAATTAGGTAGAGTCGCAAACATGTATAAGTAATGGTAACTGCAAGAGAATGATCACTGCAGAATAACTCTAAGGCTGTTGCCTGTCTCTAAGGGTAACAGAATGAATTTAAATAAAGGGGACAGAGTGAGGAGACCCGTCATGGTCTCCGATCTCCCTCTAGACAGCAACCCGAGCTCGAACCAATCCTGCCCCTCTCTGGGGCTTCGTTTCCTCATCTGAAGTCTGTAAACCTCGCCCGGTGAAGGCGCTGTGGTCTGATCTGCGTGTGTAGGCAGTGTTGCTTGCTGACTGGCCCGGGCGTGGGGCACTGTCTGGTGACGTGGGCAGGGGAACGGTGTACCAGAAGTGTGTGCGTGGGGGGATCAGTCCCACCCAGACCACACAGTTATCACACATCAGGGGATGCGCAGAAGACACACCAAGGGCACAATCGCAATGACCACTCAACGCCTTTAAAAGGCACTCTGTGTTTGCCGAATAACCCTTGTGAGGGACGAGGAAGCTGTTCGGCACCACGCACAATTAATCTAGGCTGTGAGTGACTAAACCTCGGTTACTGCCTCCCTCTCTGAAAGTCCGGCCTCCTCTGAGACAGCTCCTAGAGCAGAGGTCACAAACCGCTGGGCCACAGGTGGCTTTTGTTAGGGCCACACATTGTTGGTCCACAGAGTGGTTTTAAATTTTCCAATTAGTTGCCGATGTTTAAATAATTGGGAGATTTTGCATAAAAAATCTGGATTTCTGGCTTCTCTTGAATCAGAAGCTCTCTGGCAGCGCTGAGCCCACATTCCCACATGGCAACCACAGACTGGCGCAGAGCAGCGGCTACTCCGTGTAGACGGGGCGTGCGTTTTCCGGTAGTCCACGGATCTCTCCTGACTGCTGTGCACAGGTGGGTTACCTCTTGGCCTCTAAACTCGTTAGTCTGAGATCTCTGTCGTGAGGCCTGGCTGTGGACTTGCCCTCCACTGTGCTTGTGCAGTCAAGACGGCAGCAATCAAGCTTTCCCAGTGCTGACCCTGACTACACACGGCAAAAACGCTGTACATTGTGGCTGAGAAGTAACTCCTCAGTCCAGAGCCACGTCCCAGAAGCTCCGTCTGCAGAGTCAGCTGAACACCCAATCTAGAACACAAAACTAAGAATGTGGAAAATTCCCCTTACTTCTCTAATATGGACTAAAAGATTATAATTTGCCAAACATCTTTTTAACTGGCAAATTCTAATCCTGGACTTTGTAAGTACGAGTAGAAAAAAATCAACAGTCAAATAAAGGGATCAAAAGTCCAAAGGAAAGGGATTTTTCTGAGGAATCATAATAAATATTCCCTAGAAAGCAAATTTATTCCAAGGAACCAATATTTTTTTAAAAAATCTAATTCATAGTCTCTGTAAGGATCAAAAGAACATTGTCTCTATTAAATGAGTACATTCTGAGGTCAGAAAAAGTTTTAACAGATGGAAAAGCAACTACCAAATTCTCTTTATCTGATTTTGAAGTCAGGTTTGTTGAAGTATAGTTTACACAGTGTACAATTCACCCTTTTCATGTGTGCAGCGTCTGTGAGTTTTGACAAATGCGTACAGTTATGTAACCACCACCACAATCAAGAAAGTGAACATTTCCACCACCCCAGAGAGCTCCCGCCACCTGCTTCATAGTCGGCCCCAACCTCCACACTGAGACCTCGGCGACCGCTGATCTTTCCCTATCACTATAGATTTGCCTTTCCACAGTATATATCCTTCTGTTTTGGCTTCTGTCACGTAATACAATGATTTTGAGACTCACCTATGTTGTTGGATGTATAAGTAGCTTGTTCTACTTTGTTGTATGAATGCACTACAACTGGTTTATTAATTCACTTGTTGATGGAAAGGTGGATTCTTTCCAGTTTGGGGCTATTATGAATAAAGCTATTATAAACATTCATATACAGGTCTTTGCAAGAACATATATTTTCATTCTTCTTGGTTAAATACTTAGGAATATTGCTGGATCATATGCTAAGTGTGCATTTAACTTTATAAGAAACTGCCAAACTGATTTCCATCAGTAATTTGTGAGGGTTTCAGTTGCTTACCACTTTGTCAGCACTTGGTATTGTCAATCTTTTTACTTTTAGCCATTTCAGTAAGTGTGTAGTGGTATCTCATTGTGGTTTTAATTTGCATTCCCTAATAACTAATGGTGTAGGACATCTTTTTAGGTGTGTATTTGCCCTCTGTACATCTTTTCTGGTTAAGTTTCTGTTCATACCATTTGCTCATGTTTTCACTGAGTATCTTTACATATGAGTAATTTATATGTTCTAGATAAAAGTCCTTTATCAGATGTGTGTTTTGCAAGTATGTATGGGTACAGTCTGATGGCAGAAAAACTTGCATAGATTCAAGAGCAGCCATTCAATTTTAAAACTCAAAGTCAGTAATGGAAAATCTATTAGATATTGCGGAAAAAGTAATCAGTGATTTAGAAGGTTATTCAAGCAACTCTCCCAGATCTTAGAGCAAAGGATAAAGACCTGAAGCTACGAAAAAAAGTAAGAAAGTTGGATTTACAATTGAGTAAATAGAATATCCCTGAGCTCAGAAAACATGTCACTCTTCAAACTGAAAGGACACACAGAATATCTGAAAAACTAAATTACTTTCAAAGATAAAAGAAAAAATTTTCTAAGAGCACCCAGGAGGAAAAAAACAGGTTACTTCTCTAAAGGAAAAGAAAATAGATTGGCCTCAGATGTGTTTTTCACAACTCAAAATGCTAAAAAAAATAGAAAGAAAAAAAGAAGCCTGGTTTACAGTCATGTTTTTCAAACACTGACCCACTAGTCAGTCATGAAATCAGTTTAGTAGATTGTAACCAGCCTTTATTTTTAAGTTAAAAAGAACAGAATAGGATAGCAATATAAAAGAATCCAGCATATATTAAAGGTAAATAAATTTGGTGCATGTGTGTCTGTGTGTGTATGTGCCACCAGGTAATAAAGTAAAATGCATTTCGTACTTTGAATTGCATTTGAAAAGGCTTGTGCAAGAGAACTACAGAATCTATCAACTATATACCATTTCTGAAAAAGTAAGATGAATACCATAGTTGACTGAGTAATGAAAAAGATATAGGACTGAAATGTCACTAAAGAAAATGTAGTAAGCATTTGTATCAGTCAAGGTTCTAGTTAGCAAGGACAAAAACTGTCAGGTTAATTTAACTCGGGTAGATTTAAACAGAAAATGAATCTATTGGAAGTACGTTGGGTACTGTCTTAATTATCTATTGCTGCATAACAAATAACTTCAAAACGTGGTAGTTTAAAACAGCCTTTATTATCTCACAGTTTCTGTAGGGCACAGCTTAGCTGGGTGCTCTGGCTCTGGCTCTCTCACCCAGCTGCCATCAAGGTGTCGGCCCGGACTGCAGTCATCTGAAGGCTCGACTGGGTGCGCATCCATTTCCAAGCTCGCTCAAGAGGCTGTGTGACCAGAAACCAGGTAAGGAAAGTGTTAATGAAAATCTGATCCATAACTAAACATAGTCTGTCAAATGTTTTCCAGACAAGGAGGAAACTAAATATGCTACTTTTCAGAAGATGATGTTCTGGTTTTTGCAGATGTTGCCATCCTGCAGTGAAACTGACATGGCTGCAGCAGGACCCCTGCAGGGTGCTCCAGCTCTAAATGGCATGTTGCATTGACCCTGTTATATAATGGCCTGCACATGTGCCCTGCTCTGCCCAGTTGTTACACAGCTGTAACATACCCTCTGCACTCCAGAGTCTAAAACCTCCACCTGCACTGAGCTGGGATGGGGTGGGGGGCACTGCTTTGGGAGCTATCCCTGGTGTTCTCCATTGCTTGTGCAAGCAATAAACCTTTTTTCTTTACCCATTTCAGCCTTGGTTGTGCTTTTCAGCTCCGCACTCACCAAGAGACGGATCCACTGAGTTCGGGTACAGCTGTTAGCAGGACTGAGTTCACCGTGGGCCATTGGACGAAAGCCTTGGTTCTTCCCACGCTGTTGACCAGAGGCCACCCAGCGCCCCTTGTCAGCGCGCTCACAGAACAGAAGCCACTGCGGCAGAGCTGAACACTGTACGCAGCCTCCGTTACAGCTGGCTTGGCCAGCTCTAGACTCAGACACCCTCTACAATGTCACTGAGAAATCACGTCTAAATAGTTATTGACATGGTCTGTGAATATTGCAAAATTATGCAAGACCTTCTTCAAAGAGAACACATAAAAATTAAAATAATTTTATTATAATCACAAATAATAATAACCTGATTTAAGTAAAATGACAAGGTATGAAAATAAATCCACACCAAATTATGGGTGTGGATTATTTGAAGCACACAGCTAACTAGTTAATTAGTGTAGCATAGTAGTTAAATGCCTCTTTATCACTAGCCCAGCCACGTTCCAATCCCCACTCTGCTCCTAACAAGAGTGTGAATTCAGACAACTCAACCTCTCTGTGCCTAAATTTTCTTCATCTTTACAATGACAATAAATACCAGTGTTTGAGTCCAGTCACAGATTAGTGAAGAATCAAGAAGTGAACACCTGTGTCACCTTCATAGCACCAATTGATACATTGTAAGTGCTCTTTAAAGGTCATGCATTCAAACATTCAAAGACTTTTAACAACAACAACAAAAACCTTTAAACAAATATTTCAAGGTAGACACAATGGAGAATACTGGATGTCAGTTTAGTGATAATTGTAGCCCACACCTCCAATTTCTATGAAGGATCCTCTGACTCAGAAAAAAAACAAACCTGAAACTATTAGAACAAAGAGCTTTATTATCCTACAAGGGGGATAATTAATAAGTAATTATATATACA